GTTATTTAAATGGTTTGGCGAAATTTCTGTCAGATCCCGCCGGCGGGACCGCCGACCCCAGAGGAATTTAATATTCTAATCTAATCAGTTAACGGTTAATGTTCGGTTAACGAACGGCGGTTGTCGGTTGGGAAAATTAATCGAAATGAGCATCCCTAATAGCAATTTAACATTGTACACATAATACAGTTTTATAGCAACCAAGCGGCAGTCATAAATAAAAAAAAATATACGTGTATAGACATCCAAAGACAAGGAGGTTATTCGTTTGGGGAAAATAACATTTATTTATTGGTCACAAAACACCAACAAACCGAGCTCAAACGTGTAACAAACGCAATTCTACTGCTCTATTGGTTCACCTTGGCAGCAAGGTAAAATCCACCCATTTTGCCCATTTTACCGGAATCTGTCTCGGCTTCTAGACTTTAATTGAGATATGTATATAGATATTAATTATACGACATTGAATCAGTGTCCACGTACATGCATGCGTGTTTAGAATTCACTACAAGTCGTAAACGTACGTAGCGCAGTGCATCAAGAGCACCTGGCTGCAGACACGTGGCCCAATCCCAAACTGGTCCCTACACACTCCGCCTTCGTTTGCGTGTTCCCGAGACCCGTCGCCATGTTGAAGTGTCTCAAAGCCCCCAAGAAAGTCTGGCTGTGGAGTGTGGGCCGTGGAACGTGGAGTTTAACTGGAAATGGAACGTTTTACAGGACGTCCCTCCTCCTAGTACCGATTAGGAGTGGAATTTTACGGGTAGTCCGTCCTCAAAATAAATACGCAACCTCATCTCGATAAAATAACAAATAACAAAGCTTTGTACTTTTGACAAACATTGTTTTTACATATACACTCACCTAAAGGATTATTAGGAACACCATACTATTACGGTGTTTGACCCCCTTTCGCCTTCAGAACTGCCTTTATTCTAAGTGGCATTGATTCAACAAGGTGCTGAAAGCATTCTTTAGAAATATTGGCCCATATTGATAGGATAGCATCTTGCAGTTGATGGAGATTTGTGGGATGCACATCCAGGGCACNAAGTTTGAGGGTGTATTGTGTTGTTACCAGTTTGAAAATAAGCTATAGAGAAAGCTTTCTAAAAGTTTTTACAAGTTTCTAAAAGTGTTTACAATGGTGTGGTCTGCCATCTCACTTACAAGCATCTTTTATGGCTTGTCAGATTGCACTTTAACCCTAAAGTAAAAAAAGCTAAATAAAGTTAAAAATTGTTTTGAACTATTTTTGTCATCTGTAGTTTGATTTTGAGTAGGGGAGGGGAAAATCAATTAAAATCAGAAATCGGATTTTTTGTGAAAAAATCGGAGATTTTATTTTTAGGCCATATCGCCCAGCTCTACACCTAGGCCAATTCAGCTAAAATGAGTTACCAGATCAGGTAGGAAGGTGTCTACCGATCTCACCCATCTTACTAACAGCAGTGTGTGGTGCAGTGGGCTAAGCCTGTGTGCCTCTAATCAGAGGGTCGCCGGTTCGAACCCAGCTTTGGTGGGTTCTTGAGCTAGGCAGCCTGATGTGCACAGCGTACTTTCCGTCATCTATTGACCTGTTACGCCTACACTAAAACCATCTCCATCCTAATTTCTACCTACTACTCAGACCATCTCACCCAAACCAGTCCTGCTCTGTCCTACATCTACTATCACATTAGACCTACACTGAATCTCCATCCTGTTATGAGAGTATAGTTCTGTCTGACTTTCTACTACCGTGGCCGCCGGTTCTCTGCCGTTATTCCTCTATTACTTGTCCTACCTGTCCGATTGTCCTATGCTTTGGACCCTTCCGTCACTACTTGAAGTTACTAGTTCATTTTGGTTTTGTCCCTTAATTTGTATCTCTATGATCACTTCTTAGTAATTCCTAAAATGTGTTATTGAGCTTACCTGTAAATAAAATCAATTCCTGACAAAAATCAGGAAGATTCTACTAGTAGAATCTACTAGTAGAATAAGGAGACCAAGAGAAAACACAGATATTTTACAAATATGCATCATATTATGTGAAAATTCACTCCATATGAGGCATCAGAGCACACTGAACAGAACAGATACCTTCTAAATTCACTGAATATCATGATTATGCTTCACAGTAACCATAGTCACCAAATGACTAATGAACAAAATTTACAAATTAATTTGCTTTCTGCATATCATAATTGCAGTCATCTGAAAAGTCCAGGGATTTTCACAAATAGTTTTTTGTATTTTTTTTTTTGCAAAAAACACCAGGCAGTACAGAAATTTGTAGGGAAAAAGCATGTATTATACTTAGCTTGGTGTTACTGAAATAGCGTGTGAAAAGCAGAAATATTTCAAAACAGTATCAAGCAGTTTTTATCTTTTATCTGAACAATGTATTTCACATTTCATGATCATGGACACGTATTCATACTATCAGGGGAAACCATACATCTTGCTAAATGACAAAACACATACAAATTTTCTACTCACTTTCAAGTATCTAATGTGTCCCCTTCTCACTGCCATGTAGACACTTCACAGATCCCAAATCTAAAGATATCAAAAACAAAATAAAGTAATAAAAATACACGCTGAAAGAAAGAATGAAAGAAAAGCAAATGAGAGGATTCCAGAAAGAACTAAACTAAATTAACAAAAAAGGAAAAAAATGGCAAGATGAGCCTTCTTCTGGATATACCTGTGGAGAGAACACAGCAACCATCACCCTCAGAGACTAGCTCCTATTCAGCATGTATTTTTATACACTTTGATCTCAATACATTCACATCTTAAAATGTGTTTTTATTTGCTTTAGCCATTAATAGCTTTTTCTGTTAATTATATATTTTCCAACCCCACCCCCAATAAAGACTCTGCCCCCTTATCCATTCACTTCCAACTATGCCCCGAGTCAAGAGCCATTTAATAAAAATAGAACAATAATTACATTAACAGTAAACATGCTCATTTTCCTTTATGGAGTATAAAGACCATTCACAGGAATAAGACTTCCTTATTTTAACTTGTTGTCGCATCATTTCTGCTCAAAAATTCAGGTTCAGGGGTTTGTTAAAGAATACTGGAAAACTGACAAAAGGTTTTACAGCGTGTTCAAATATGGATTTTAGTGAAGAAAAAGTAACACTTATTGATTCACAGAACCCTACCTTACACCTGTTACACTATTTACAAGGCTAGGCAAAAGTTATGAAATCATTACACTTGGAGAATGTTTACATCTAAAATATTTTAACATTTTTTAAATATTTCATAGCAAATTAGTTACATATATGACACAAAACATTTTTTTCAACAGCTGAACATTCCTCAAACTACAAAATCTTTTGTACATACATAGAATTGTCAAATGTTTCATGTTTTATATATTTATACTTATATGTTGATTGTCAATTCATGTCTTACTACAACTGCTTCAAGAGGCTTTGCACACAAGCATTTCACCAACATGTATAGTACCTGTGTACTGGTGACAAGTGACGTGACATTGAAATGCATAATGGTGCTTTACTGCCACCGTGGCTTTGATTAGCTTACTGCTCCCAAATTAGGGGGTAGCCACGGTACTTATGTGTATAATATCATAGACCCAACTAATCGATTATTAAATTAGTAGCAGACTATTTTAATAGTCGATTTTAATCGATTTAATCGATTAGTTGTTGCAGCTCTAAAATTTTCAAAAGCCATACATGCCATATCAAAGGAGCTATGAATGTCAGAAGTTGGACCGAAAGGTTTGTTTGGCAAAATGTGTAAAATTTCTTAAAGTACCAAGGTCTGTATATTCTAAATTATTAGCAATACAAATGTGTGGGCGATCTTCTCAACAAAAAAAAATCATATATCTTTATAACACACAATCAAGATCCACAATCATGATCCTTCTTCCCAATTTTGAAATGTACAGTACAAGAATACCCACACCTGAACAAGCCTAAGGACTTAACCATCAGCACGAGGGCTGTCACAATCATGAAATGTTAGTTGATTAATTGTCATGCAAATAATTGTGATTAACGATTTAATTGTTTTTTTCATTTCATATTATAACACAGCCTAATCATAGTGCACACTTTATGAAGAATTTAATACTGAATATTGGAACATATAAATATGAATTGCATTCACTTTTTAAGCTTTGTAAACAAAAATTGTATAAGGCAAATACGAAATTAATGACAAAGCTATATGGGTCATTCCACGTCAAATCATCACACTTTCGGACCTCATCGTCACGGATTTTAAAGAAACTTGGCATGCTGATTTGATCACATGAGTAACTCATAAAACTGAAATTGGCCATGTCTGGGATCAATATTGAGGGGCATTTAAGCAAACAAAGTTTTAACTTTTTTTTTTGGGGGGGGGGGGGCTATGACTTTGACTGGCTATATTTACCTTAATGTAAGCTGCACAGAAGTGGTCCTTATATTGTTTTAAAGCTATTGTCCAGCTGTATAGATCGAACAAGTAATATGCCATCCCCATTTGAATAATTACTATGTAATAACTGATTAAATAATTAAAAATTCAATAACAAAAAACCTATATTTCAAAATTTATCAATTTTTTAATAATAAAGCTAGATTGTAATGACATGAACATCTCCAGAAAATTTGGTCTTTGGTGTTTAAGGTGTTGCTGAGATATGTAAATACAAACATGTAAAATAGGAAAGAGCTGTTGTGCGATTGATTGTACAAAATAGATTTAACACGAAATAGGAGCTATCTTTTTAGAGAGTGCCAAAAACTAAATAAGTAACACTTTGGATTTAGCGTTCAGTACGATGACGAGGGTAAGAGGACTGTAAACAAGCAAAAGACAGTCTGCAAGCACTGCTTGGCAACAGTTGGCTACTTCAATGGAAACACTTCTAACATGATGTTTCATTTACGTCACCACCACCCAGCCGTTTCACTTGGTAGCGGAGCTAAGCGCAACATCCACCAACTCTCACTGCTGCCTTCCACCAACAATTAGCCACAAATTCAGTTAGACGTAAATAAATAACGAAAGCAGTGGGATTCTTCATAGCGAAGATTTGCAGCCCTTTTCAGTAGTTAATGACTTGGGATTTCCTTATCACCTTATCAAAACAAACGAACCGCGTTATAATGTCCCCTCCTGCACACATTTCAGCAGCACAGTGATTCCCGGGCTCTATGAAACATTGCAGAGGGAAATTGAAACCGAATTAGCACAGGCACCGTATCCGGCTCTCTCCACTGATAGCTGGACCTCCAGACTCAGAGCATCTGAAAGTTACCTCACGGTGACTGTGCACTATGTGCAGGATTGGGAGATGAAGAGCTACGTGCTGCAAACTCGTCACCTGTATGAAAGTCATACAAGTGCACAATTAGCTCAAGAATAAATGAATGCTGTGACTGAGTGGAAGCTAGAGAGACCAAATATCACAATACCAGTCATTGTAAAAGCCATCCATGAAGCTGATGTGTTTGGGCCTCATATTGGATGTTTTGCTCACACCCTGAACCTTGCAGCCAAACGGGCAGTTTCTCTCAAGCAGTGAGCCGCCTCCTGGGTAAGGTCAGGAAAGTGGTGACCTTTTTTCACAAGAGTACTACTGCTCATCAAGTTTATACAGACAAGCAAGTGATGCTAGATTTGCCAAAGCATACATTAATCCACAATGTCACAACATGCTGGAATACCATACATGACATGCTCGAACGTTATGTTGAACAGCAACCAGCCATCTATGCTGCTATGTTGGACAAGTCTGTGAAGAAGTCGATCAAAGACATACTCACTGAGCAGGAACTGAATCTGGCTGAAGAACTAATTCAGCTACTCAACCCCCTGAAAACAATTACAACTCTTATGAGCACTGAAACAAGTCCAACTTTATCAATGATTCTCCCTTTAAAGACAAAAGATCCTTAAATCAATAACATCAGCTCCTGAGGACAGTGAACCATCAGGGAGGCCAAGGCAGCCATTACACAGGACATGGGAAAAAAGATATACAGAACCAGATCTTCTTGAATAACTTCACAAAGCTACAGCCCTTGATCCAAGGTTTAAATCACTGCCGTTCCTAAATCAAGACTGCTGTGACTGAGTCTACAATGATCTCATAAAAGAAATTGTGGAGCATAAATATCAGGTATTTGATCTATCTTTAAATTATTTTCATAATTTTGTTTTTAGCAGGTTTATTAAAATTTGACAAAATTAAATATGCTTTTGGTTTAGAAATATGTCACACATAATAAATAAGAATCTTTTTTCAGTTTCAAGATGTGCAAGCAGAGGCATCTACAGAGAAAGAAAATCCATCCTCATCATCCCCTCCTCAAAAGAAGTCTGACATGTCAGAAGTATTTGGAGAACTTTTCAGAGCAGAGCAGAAGACGAAGTCCTTTTCCAAAATTATTGAGGAGGAAGTCACATCATACTAGGCAGCAGATTGCCTTCATGTAGATGCAGATCCTTTTGAGTGGTGGAAAACAAACCAGTCAAAGTTCCCCTATGTTGCAAAACTTGCACAACAGTACCTCAGTGTCCCAGGAACCTCTTTTGCTAGTGAGAGAGTGTTCTCCACCAGAGGGGACATTGTCAGTGAAAGCCGTTCCCGTCTTGCTCCAGAGAACTTAGAGAGGCTTATCTTTTTGCGCAAAAACCTCACCATAATAGAATAGATTTTTCCAGTTACTAAATTGATTTTGCACTGTTATTTTACAGCTAATGTTGTCTGTTTAAGTTGTTACCATGTGTATCTAAAATTCAAAACGTTGATTTCATACATTATAAACAGAAAACATAGCTGTTTTTTTGTAAATGGAAAGTTTTATCTGTCTATATAAAAAATAAAGAGTTCAAGGAATGATAGTATATTTTGTCTAAAATATATGGATACTATAAAAACCATAACGTACCATAACCGTGACACAAAAACCGCAATACGTACCGAACCGTGGGTCCAATGTACCGTTGCATCCCTACACCACATCTTTAAATTCTCATCCTTGCATTAGAATAGAGACCAGTTAACATTTTGATGGTATCTCATGTGGTAATGCTGTGTCATACGTTTTAAATTAACTACACACTGAATATTGAACTGAAGCTTGACATAAAAAATTATACTGCAGATCAAATCGTAATGTCTGTCAGAAAAATCGCGATTAGATATTTTCCCCAATTCGTTCAGCCCTACACAGCATTATATACAGTGACACAGCAAGTTAAATGTAAAGACCCTCCAGGCAGACACACGGTCTAGTCCCACCCTCTGGAAATGACCATCCATTTGCCTCAGCCAGGTGTTATGTGGGCGTACCCTTGGCCTGGTCCAGCCCCTCAGGTCCTCAGCAATGAGGATCCTGTGAGTCGGATCTCCCTCAGGGAAACGCGCCACATGGCTGTAGTGCCGTAACTGATGCTCCTCACAAGGCAAGTAATACGCCTCATCCAGGACTCCTCTAGCAACCGCTTGTTCAACACAAAGTCAAACCAGCAGTACCCAAGGATTCTCCAAAGAGACACAGTACCGAAAGAGT